GAAAACACAGAAATTTATGCAGAACAAAAATTAAAATTATGCAGAAGAATGAAAAACAAAATTATGCAGAAAATACAGTGTTAATTCTATCAGAATCAGAAATTCATGAATGCAGAAAACATAGAAATTATGCAAAATGAAGTTTACAATTATGCAGAAATATGAAAAACGAGATTATGCAGAAAATGCAAAAGAATGCAAAAACTTTATGCAAAAGACAGCAAAACTTATGCAGAAATCTGCACAAGATGCAGAGAAATTATGCAGAAAAACTTGAAAGCAGAACAACAACAAAAATAAATGCTCAATCTAGTTACTTTTCTACTACTAATGATATTGAAATTCAAAATTCTCTGGCAACGGCGCCAAAAACTTGTTGTTCGCAATCTAAACACTAGCAAGTGCACTAGGATTGCAGCAAGTAATGAGTAAATTTAAGATCCGAGTATCGTCTCCACAGGGAATTAGGAACTCAATTATCACTTCACAGAAAAATAACCATTTGAGCCATACGAATTTGAGAAGAGAGTTGTATCATATAAAAGCAATAATCAGAGCAATCAAAAGTAAAGAACTTGCAGAAAAACAGAGTATAAGATTTGTGATGAAATGAAATAGCAATGAAGGATAGTTACGAATTTACTTCACAAGAATATCAATATCAATCCAATTAAATCCTCTGAACATTCAAGCAATTGAATAATTGACAATCAGTTTCACATATACCTAGCCAAAGGTTAATTCCTTAACTCATTGACCCTAACAATCCACTAAACCTCCCTAATCCCTTAGGTGAGATTCAATTTCAGGTTGCATTAAGAATTAGAACTATAAGATTGCAGAATTAGGTCTCCTTATCCCTAAGAAATTCCTAAACTCTGGTTGCCAATTCAGATCGGAGCAAACAATCCAATTCCCATTGGTAAAGATTCCTCTTGATTAATCAAATGAATTTCCATTCAAAGATTGCATGAAAAGCAGAATTAACAACTCAATTAATCCAAGAACTTAAAGTTCAGAAGATAAAGTCGAATCAATACATCAATTCGAGTTCCATAAACCCCTAACTATGGGAAATTAAGCACACATTGCAACAAAAACAAAGAAAGAAGAAGAAGAAGATGAAGAAGAATGCAGAGCAGCCATGGCCACGAGCTCCAATCCGATCCCTCTTCTTGGAGCTTCAAGCTTCGACCCCAATCTTCTCTCCACTCTCTCTCAACGAGAATCTAACTAACAAAACAGAAAATGAGCAAAAGACCCCTAGTTTCGCGCTTCAATCATGTATTTATAGAAACCTCAGTTCTGCGCGTTGTCACTTTTCTTCACCAGAGTAACCACGCAGAAGCTTTATGTAGTGCGCGTGTTCACTTTCAAGAGCAAGAGTAATCACGCGCAACTTGCTGAGTTGAAGGCTTCTCTGGAACATTCACTTTAATTCATAAGAGTGCCAATGCATGAGGTCGAGGGCTGCGCGTGATCACTTTCGTGAGTAATAGTAACCACGCACAAGCTGTCCTGATACAAGTGCCTCTGGAACGCTCACTTTCGTTGGCGAAAGTGACAACGCGCAGCTCATCAGGAATGAAGTCTCTCTGGAACGTTCACTTTCGTTGGCGAAAGTGATAACGCACACTGGCAACGCTCACTCTTGTAAATAAAAGTGATTACGCACAGGCTCCTCTTCTCATTTAGGCTCTGGAATGATAACTTTTACTAACAATAGTGATCACGCCCAGCCTGCATCCCATAATTCTTGTATTTTGGAGTCCAACATTGCCATTCTTCCTCTTCCTTTCCATTGATAATCCATTTCCATGACTTTTGCTCAGAATATTCCTTCAAAAACAAGATAAATTCCTTAAGAACTAAGCATAAATTCTACAAATGCAAAAATAACTACAAATTGAAATAAAACTTTCAATCATTCTCTTTTTCTGAGTTTTTCTGCTTTCTTCATATATTTTCCTTATTAAATGAGCTAGAATTATGCTAAAATATCAGTAAAAATATGGATTTATCAGTGAACTATACTCACATGTTGCTAAGAAATTGTCACCTTTGCCTTGGTAAAGAATTGAGTTTTTAATTTCTTTTTTGTGTGCACTATAACATGTATTGTTGCATCTATCCTCTAGAACTTGCCCTGTTTCTTAATTGAATATGCATTGTGCAATTTTTCATCTAGATGATTAAGGCCTTCTTTGCACACACCCACACATACACCCTTGCACCTAATTTTCGTTGTTCCACATTTTCTTTTTTTGCCGAACTTAGTCTGCAAACATATTTCCTTACCTTAAGAGAGGTTTTTCTTTTGAGTTGCATCAAGAGTGAATGCAAGAAACTAAGTTTGGGGTGCTGATTATTACTGTAGTTGCTTGAGGACAAGCAAAATTTTAAGTTTGGGGTGGTGAACATCATACATGTTAATAATACATGTAAAAAAAATGTTTGAAATTGAAGAAGAGAATGATTGTCAAGTCCATAAAAATTTGGTGATGAATGAATGAAAAAGAAAGAAAGAAAATACAGCAAGGGCCTTGAGTTGAAAAGAATCCCACATAAGGCAAAATAATGAAAAACATGGTGAAAGAATGCTTGAACCTCATAAAATGCATCATTTAATGCATTCCATTCTAGTTGTTGTACTCACTCACTCAAATGAATTCCCTCCTTTTAAAAACCCACTTAAACTTTTGTCCTTCTTTGATTAAAATTGAACCCAACCTAACCCCATTTGTGACTAACGGTAAAAAAATGAGAGGTTCTATTGGAAGCGGGAAAGGTATTGCAAATTGAAAAAATGAAAAAAATGAATCAAAAGTTCTTCCCAATCAGCCCTTGACCTCTATAAATACTAATTCTAAAAGAGAAAAAACCGAGTGGGCCAAAGTTGGGCCGAAATTAAATACAAAAGAACTGCAAAATAAAAGCAAAATAAAAACTATACAATAGTCAACTAAAAGTCTAAACTTCTAAAATTCGTAGAAAACAGATCCGGATTGCAAACAGCACGATCTAAATATCCAAATTAAAGCCCAAGAAGTAAGGAATCCAATGCAAAAAGAATCAGCCAAAAAGGATATCTACAGAAAAAGTTATGGTCAAATTAGTAACCAAAGGTCAGAATAGAAAATATGAACAAAAGTATAGTATTTACGAAAATTCCTAATTATCAAGATAAATGCAAAAACATAATAAATGGAAGAAATAAGGGAATGAAAAGACATGCAAAGGATGCAATAAGACTAAAAATGTGGGAACAAAATATGAGCTATCACCAACCGTCCAACCTAGGGTTTGATTTCTATTTTCTCCTTACTTCTCTTTGATTTTTGTATTGATGTTATTGATTTCTCTTTACTTTCATTTTGTAATTCTGAGACCCATCCTCATGGAGGGTTAATTTTCCTGTAATCTCTAATGAGTTCATATGGATTCTTGAATTCTTGGTTTTTTGAATGTTAATGCAAATCTTTTTCTTCCATGAATTTCTTCCTCCCAAACTCTTGAATTGAATTAATGGTTGAATGAGGGGAGCATTGCGTAATGAACCTGATAAATGCTTTCTATACTTGATCCTACATTGTAATTCATGAATGATAATTGAGAGTTTTAAGCTATTCATTGAGAAAATTTACTATTATTAATTTCATTTTATTCATATTTCAGGAAAAAGGATCAAGAAGTGAAAGCCTTAAAGATGTCGAGAATTGAAGAAAAAGAAACCAGAGATATACACGGGCAAGTACATGCCCGTGTATATGAGCGTGTATCTTACTGGTCGCGTCAATTGAAGTGTATCATCTAGACCAGAGATGTACATGGCCAGATACATGGCTGTGTACATGAGTGTGTACTTTTATGGAAATCTTTGAAAGACGTCTATTAGAAAACAGAGATGTACACGGCCAAGTACATGGCCGTGTACTTGGGCATGTACTTTTACGCACATTAGAAATTTAACTTTTGCGAGAAAATTAACCCTAGGATAATTTCTATAAAAGGAGAACTGAACTCAAACCTAAAGGGAGGTAGTTTTTTGGAGACGAAAGACTCAGAGACGGCAGGAGGATAGGATCAAGCGTTTTAATTCATCTCTTTTGTAATTTTAATTTCAAGATGTTTAGGTTCTAACTTTGCTTTGAGTATCTAGACGTAATGAATCCTAATTGACTAAATTTTCTGGAATTCTTCTAATGCTATTTCATGTTCTTTTCTCTTGGGTTTAATTGAGTAGTATCAATTTTCTCTATCTTGTTTTCTTGTTTGAATTTGAGTAAAATTCCTGCATGAAATTAACATTGCTCAATTAAAAAGACTTGAATGTATTTCTAGAGATAGAAAGACGTGAGTTTTTTGTATTAGGATTAACCCTAATTATGGAATTCATAATGAACTTAATGCAACCTAGGGATATTAATTAAGGAAGAGATTCCGATTAATCAACTGAGGGTTAGGAATCATTATCCTTGAGAAAGGTATTGATTTAATTTGGAATTTTCTGCAGCGATAAGGGTTTGGAACTAAGTAGTTGAAGAAGAATTTCAGTTATTTGGACACTTAGGGGGATTTACAGTCTAGATACTTGCCTTTTTACATTGAATACCTTTAGTCATAATTTTCTATAATTTATTTATACTAGAATATCTGTTCCTTTTAATTTATTATTCTTTTACTTTTAGCAATTTCATCAACAAGATTTATTTTTTCATATTTATTAACAATTACGCAATTAAGGACAAGTTTCTTAATAACAGTCTCTGTGGATACGACACTTGGTACTTTAATTTTAATTTTAATAATATTACTTCGACAACGGGTACACTTGCCCAGTGATCAGATTTTTACACACCAAGTTTTTGGCGCCGTTGCCAGGGACTGTTTAATTAGGATTCCCTTGATTTCGTATTTACTAATTTTATCTATTTCTTTAATCTTGAATTAACTTATCTATTTTTACTTTCATTCTTTTTAGGAGCTGATTTTTCTGGTGTATGATCAGAACCCGTTCTACTGCACTGTCTGAAAAACTATCTGAATTTGACCCAGACATCGAAAGAACTTTGCAGAAAATTCGGAAAGAGAGGCGACTGCTAGTACAGAGGGAAAACGCACAAACCCACATGGAAGGAATGGCAAACAACGAAGATCAACCAAGGACCATGTCCGATTATGCTCGTCCATCATTAACTGGGACAAAATCTAGCATTGTTCGTCCGGATGTGCAGGGAAATTTTGAAATAAAACCCAATGTTATTCAGATGGTTCAACAGTTTGTTCAATTTGATGGGTTGCAAGATGAAGACCCAAACGCTCACATCGCTAATTTTTTGGAGATCTGTGATACTTTCAAGATTAATGGAGCTACTGATGATGCAATTCGCTTGAGGCTATTCCCATTTTCTCTCAGAAGCAGAGCAAAGCAATGGTTGAACTCTCTCCCGCGAGGATCTATCACTTCATGGGAGGCTATGGCAGAAAAATTCTTGGCAAAATATTTTCCTCCCGCTAAAATTGCTAAGATGAGGAATGATATCTCTTCCTTCTACGAGTTAGAGACAGAGACGTTATACGATACGTGGGAGAGGTTCAAGGAATTGTTGCGGAAATGCCCACATCATGGGATTCTGGATTGGCTTCAAGTGCAAACCTTCTACAATGGATTAAACCCAGGCACAAGACAAATAATAGATGCTGCAGCTAGGGGCACTTTGAATAGTAAGACACCAAGGGCTGCACAAGAACTGTTTGAAGAAATGGCAATGAACAGCTATCAATGGAGCTCCACTCGATCCAAGCCTATAAAATCTGCAGGGATCTATAGTCTTGGTGCAGTAACATCCTTGGCAATGCAAGTTGAAGCCTTAGGGAAGAAGATTGATGGTTTATCTGTTAACCATCCAGCTGCTCCAGTGATGAGATGTGATGTTTGTGGAGGAGGCCACCCTAATCATGAATGTCGAGCTACTCAGGAAGAACATGCCAATGTGATAGGAAACAGACCACCGTACCAAAATTACAATGGCATGAATAATTTAGGCTGGAGGAACTATGCAAACCCACCGTGGAACAACAACCAACAGCCAATGCGAAACAACACACCCTCAGGGTTTCAACAAGCTCCACATCAACCACCACCCCCAACAGAAAAGAAGTCAAACCTTGAGGAGCTGATGACCAAATTCATTCAAACATCAGAATCTCGGTTTCAATCCACCGAGACAGCATTAAGAAATCAACAAGTATCAATCCATAATCTGGAAAATCAGTTGGGTCAAATCTCTAGACTCCTCTCAGAAAGACCCCAAGGGAGCCTACCTAGCAATACTGAAACAAATCCTAAGGAGCAGGTGAAGGCAGTAACATTAAGGAGTGGCAGAACATTACACGAAGGGGAAGCAAGAAACAGAAAAAGATGCAGTTGAAGAGGAGGATAAATGTCAAGAGAAGACTATGGAAAAGCCCCCTGTAGTGAAAGAATTCATACCTCCACTCCCCTACCCAGCTAGATTGAAGAAGGACAGGGACGATGAACAATTTGGTAAATTTCTTTCCTTATTTCGTCAACTTCATATAAATTTACTGTTTGTTGATGCTTTAGCACAGATGCCCAAATACGCCAAATTTCTGAAGGATTTACTATCGAACAAGAAGAAGCTGGAAGAGTTGGCCACGGTAACACTTAATGAAGAATGCTCAGCAATCCTACAGAACAAGATGCCCGAGAAATTAAAAGACCCAGGGAGTTTTACTCTTCCTTGTCTCATTGGTAGATTGATAGTTGATAGGGCTTTAGCTGATTTAGGTGCTAGCATTAATTTGATGCCATATTCTGTTTTTAAGAAATTGGATTTAGGGGAACATAGGCCAACTAGGATGAGTATTCAACTAGCTGATAGGTCAATTAAATATCCTAGGGGTATCATTGAGGATGTGCTTGTAAAAGTGGACAAATTTATTTTTCCTGTCGATTTTGTGATTCTTGATATGGATGAGGACACTGAGGTCCCCTTAATCTTAGGTCGTCCATTCTTAGCTACTGCAAAAGCCATAATTGATGTGAGTGATGGGAAGTTAATTTTGAGGGTTGGAGATGAAGAAGTAACTTTCAAAATTCCTGAAGTGATGAAAAAATCCCTGAAACAAGATGATTCATGTTTTTCATTAATGTAATCGATAACCTTGTTTCTGATTTTACACAGGAATTCTTGATCTCAGACCCGTTGGAGAGAAGCTTGATACAGGAAGAAGGAACAGATAATATGGGCATGCTAACTCAAGAACAGTGGTATCATCTAGAAGCCACTAAACCATTATTGAGAAAGAGGAACTTTGAAGCTCTAGAACAAAATTTAAAGGAGCAGCCCAACCCATCCACTGACAAACCATGAGAAGTAGAACTGAAAGTTCTACCTGAACATCTAGAGTATGCTTTCTTGGAAGACGGTTGCAAGTTACCCGCCATCATCGCTTAGAAACTAACACAAGAACAAAAAGGCCAGCTACTGAATGTGCTTCGAGAGCACAAGAAAGCAATAGCATGGAGAATCTCTGACATTAGAGGGATTAGTCCTTCTTTTTGCACTCACAAAATTTTGATGGAGTCTGACTTTAAAGCAGTAGTGCAACCACAAAGAAGACTAAACCCAAACATAAAAGAAGTGGTGAAAACGGAAGTGATCAAGCTACTGGATGCCGGAATGATCTATCCCATCTCAGACAGTCCATGGGTGAGCCCGGTGCAAGTCGTTCTGAAGAAAGGGGGGATGACTGTAGTTCCCAATGAGAAAAATGAGTTGGTCCCTACTAGAACTGTCACTGGGTGGAGGGTGTGTATTGATTACCGAAAGCTGAATGACGCAACGAGGAAAGACCACTTCCCTCTCCCATTCATTGACCGAATGCTCGAGCGTCTCTCAGGCCATATGTTTTATTGCTTTCTGGATGGCCTCTCTGGATACTTTCAAATTCCAGTAGCACTAGAGGATCAAGAGAAAACTACCTTCACATGCCCATACGGAACATTTGCTTATCGCCGGATGCCATTCAAATTATGTAATGCACCGGCAACTTTTCAACGGTGTATGATGGCTATATTCGACGAGATGGTAGAGGATATCATGGAAATATTCATGGACGACTTTTTAGTCTTCGGTGATTCATTCTCCCATTGCCTACAGAATTTGTCAAGAGTGCTTCAAAGATGTGAAGAAACTAATTTGGTACTTAATTGAGAGAAATGTTATTTTATGGTACAAGAAGGCATTGTACTTGGTCATAAAATCTCCTGCAAGGGAATTGAGGTGGATAAAGCAAAAATTGACACAATCAAAAAGCTACCACCCCCTACATCTGTCAAAGCAATTCAGAGCTTCTTAGGCCACGCAGGCTTCTACAGGAGGTTTATCAAGGACTTCTCAAAAATCACCAAACCTCTGACCAAGCTCTTAGAAAAGGAGAACTACTTTAATTTTGATGAGGAGTGCTTAAGTGCTTTTGAGCTACTAAAGGGAAAAATGACCTAAGCCCTTATTTTATGCGGGCCAGATTAGAATTATCCATTCGAATTAATGTGCGATGCAAGCGACTATGCTGTGGGAGCTGTGCTTGGACAGAGAAAAGACAAGCATTTTCAACCCATTTATTATGTTAGCAAGACCCTAACAAGTTCCCAAGAGAATTACACTACGACAGAAAAAGAATTATTAGCTGTGGTGTTTGCGTTTGATAAATTTTGCCAATATTTAATTCTGTCTAAAGTGATAGTATATACAGATCATTCTGCATTGCGTTATTTGCTAAATAAAAGTGATGCAAAGCCGAGACTAATGAGATGGGTCTTGTTACTGCAGGAATTCAACTTGGAAATCAAGGATAAGAAGGGTTCAGAGAATTTAGCTGCTGATCACTTGTCAAGGTTGGAGAATCCCAGCATAGAGAAATTAGAAGAAGGAAGCATCAACGACAAGTTTCCGGAAGAACATCTATACAATGGGTAACTACTTCCGATTTTTCTTTACCATGGTTTGCGAATTTTGCTAATTATTTGGTTGCTAAGGTTTTACCACAAGAATTTTCAAGTCAACAAAAGAAGAAATTCTTTTCTGACTTGAAATACTACTTTTGGGAGGACCCATATTTGTTTCGAATTTGTGCAGACCAGGCTATTAGAAGATGTGTGCCACACTCCGAAGGATGGAAAATTCTAAGACACTGTCACACTGGCCCTGCTGGAGGACATCATTCTGGGACTAGAACAGCTAAAAAGGTGCTAGATTCTGGATTTTACTGGCCCTCTATCTTTAAAGATGCCCACAGGTATGTTGAGTTGTGCGATAATTGCCAGAGGTCAGGTAATATCTCTCAAAGGAATGAAATGCCTCAAAATTACATCTTAACGTGTGAAATTTTTTATGTTTGGGGGATCGATTTTATGGGACCCTTTCCTAGTTCAAAAGGGAATAAATATATTTTAGTGGCTATTGATTATTTGTCAAAATGGGTAGAGGCACAAGCATTACCTAATAATGATGCAAGAGTAGTCACTAGGTTCCTCAAAAAGCTGTTTTCACGATTTGGCACACCAAGAGCTTTAATAAGTGATAGAGGTACACACTTCTGCAATACATAACTAGAAAAAGTTTTGAATAAATATGGAGTCACCCATAGAATTGCTACCCCTTACCATCCTCAAACGAGTGGCCAAGTTGAGGTAGCTAATAGGGAGTTAAAAAGAGTATTAGAAAAGACAGTAGAAAGGAATAGGAAAGACTGGGCTGACAAATTAGATGATGCCTTGTGGGCTATCAGGACAGCTTTTAAAACTCCCATAGGCACTACACCATATAGACTTGTATTTGGAAAGGCCTGTCATCTCCCAGTTGAATTAGAACATAAGGCATTCTGGGCAATTAAATCTCTGAATATGGATCTTGATCATGCAGGAAACCAACGGTTGATGCAATTGAATGAGTTGGAAGAGTGGCACATGGAGGCTTACAAAAATTCCAGGATCTACAAGGAGAGAATGAAAGTATATCATGATAGGAAAATCAAGGGCGGTAAACAATTCAAAAAGGGTGATTTGGTACTATTATACAATTCTCGTCTCAAATTATTCCCAGGTAAAGTCAAATCCCGTTAGTCTGGGCCTTTTACGGTGCATGAAGTGTTTCCTTATGGTACAATAGAATTAACACATCAGGAGAAAGGAAACTTTAAGGTAAATGGACACAGACTAAAACTGTACTAGGGAGGTCAAATTCAAACATTTGAGAATGAGGAGTTCAAACTCCTCCATGTTGAATACTGAATCACATTGAGCAGTTTAGGTTAGGTAAATTTAATTTGTTTTAATCTGGTTAATTATTTGTTTAGGTTAGAAAGTTTTAGTTTACCATAATTTAGTTAGTGTTTGGTTCAATTGTTTCCAATAATTTGTAATAATAATAATAATAATAATAATAATAATAATAATAAAAATAAATAAAATTTTAAGGAAAATAATAAAAGAGAGAGGGCAGTGAGATACACGGTCAACTACACGGCCATGTACATGGCCGTGTACTTTTGTTTCATGACAATTCTGCTGTGCAGAGATGTACACGGTCAGATACACGTCCGTGTATCCAACCGTGTACTCAGGCAAAGTTGGGCAAAGATTTACACGCCTAAGATACTCGCCCATGTAGATCTCATCTATCTTTGTACAGAGATATACACGGTCAGATACACGGCCGTGTATCCAACCGTGTACATGCCCAATTTCGTGATCTTTTTAAAAAAAATTCAATGGGCTGAGATCTACACGCCCAGATACACGGTCGTGTATCTGGCGCGATAATCCCCTCTGTTTTAATTTCCTGCGCTGCACCTCTGTTTTATAAACCCTGTTTTAAATCTCCTTCAAAACCTAGGTTTCCCCTTCCCTTCCTCTGTTTCTGGTTCAATACTCCTTCTCCTCTGCAAACCCCACACCCTCTCTTTTTCTCCTCCTTCTTTCATAGCAGAAAAAGAATTCTGCAATCCTTCCCCATCCATCTACACGCTCAGTTTTTCTGCAACTACCATGGCTGATGGGTCTTCCTCTAGAGCACCAAGAAGAGGCAAGGAGCAAGTGAGGAAACGTCCTCGTCCCTAGACTGAGCGCCCACCACAACCCCTTCCATCCCAGCTGCTCCGATTCAACTCCCCTGCTCATCTGACAAGGTACGATAAGTTGAAAACAAGGGTTTGGGGCCAGAGCAAATACATTGATTGGGAGGTTCTACAACATTACAATTTGGTTGATGAAGTGAGAAAATTGATAGGAATAGGACATTGGGAAGTTCTGTTTTCTATTATTGAGCCTACTTATAAAGAACTCACTTTAGAATTCCTCACTACCTTAGTTGTTGAACGTAATTTTTCGGGTTGGGACTATGAA